CCCGGGACGGGACGCGGGTCCCACACTTTCACACCCCGGGGGGCTCGGCCCGCTCGGCCCCCGCCAAGGCTGGCTGCTAAGGGACTTTTTCGTTGGAGGAGTGGATGGTCCTACCAAAGGGGAGCAAAAGCGTGCCCCAACGGAATGAGCTCACGTTGGAGGAGGTAATAATGAATTGACACGTAGCAGCCAGAGTAGCTTCAGGCGCACTTTTAGGATTAGGCCCAATCCAGCCTCCATCTGCTTGTTCTGTAACTAGTTTTATTGTTTTATTGGAACACATTGGAGCTCTTGTGTCCATTCCTCTGTTACCCATGGGTGCTTTCCTTTTTTAACCCATGGGTGCTCTTAATGCTACTAGGGCAGCGTTGAGTAATAGCGATCAGGACCATAGGCCTATGAAGCTTAAAATACTGACTCTCTGACCCTTCACACGTAGTCCCTGGGTGGTAGTAGCAATTCCAGGCCAGCCTGAGGTACCACCACATTCAAGACCGGATCATCAGCTTTGGAGGAGTCTTGGTGGCATCGAGGTTTGGTTATGCGTTGGGCTGCTAACTTCAAGGTCAGCAGTTCAAAGCCACCAGCTACCAGCTACTCTGTGGGAGAGAGACTGGAACTGCTTCGAGGAAAAACCCACGGGTATCCGTGGGCTGAGAGTAGGAGTTTTAGGAGACCTGACTGTACGCTGGAAGGGTGGGCCAGGGGGTCTCAGGAAGACGACAGTTGAACTCTCTGGGCACCCTATGGGACCGAAATGGAATGATCGGAGTTTCAAGGGTTCTAGCCAGGGTCCCGCTGGGCGTGGGAGTTACGGTGCAGAAAGCAGCGCTTGTTTCCCAATAGTCTCTGAGTAAAGAGTTACGGCCTCAGAAACTCACAAGGCCAGTTCTAGCCTGACCTGCAGAGTAGCTGCAAGCCAGAAGCAACTGATGGCGGTGAGTTTGGCGTTTCAGAATCTACTTTCAGAAAAGCAAAGATGTTATTTTAAGGATGAAGGAGCTATTTGCAACGCCTTGTAGGACATCGGTAAGGAAGGTCTAAGAAGAATTGCTGCATTTAAACTCTGGTGCTAGTGAAGAACATTGAAAGTATCATGGACTGCCAGAAGATCAAATCTGTCTTTGAAGAAGTGCATCCAGAATGCTCCTTAGAATCAAGGATGGTGAGACTTCATCTCACATACTTTGGACATGTTGTCAGGAGGGACCAGCCCCTGAGAAAAGGCATCATGCTTAGTAAAGTAGCGGGGCAGCAAACAAAGAGGAATACGCTCGACAAGATTAATTGACACAGTGACTGCTGTCAAGCATAAGAGCACTGTGAGGATGGTGCCGGGCCAGGTACTGTTCGGTTGTACCTAGGGTCGCTGAGAACAAAACGACTTGAAGGCATTTAAGAACAGCCTCCTTTTAAAGGAACATGGCCATGAAAACCCAATAGAGCACAATTCTCTGGAATACAGGGAGTCTTCGTGAATTGGAATCCCAAACACAGCTGGTCTAGATCATTGGTTAGTACTTCATTGTGGCAGAAAAGTGCTCCTATGTCAAGATGACAGAGGCTGGTTCCCTGAGTATTTGGAGCAATGCAGGCCACCTGTGGTCCCCAACCCCTTGTGTGCAGCCGCCCTAACCTCACTGTCCAGTGACTCTGGGCCCTGGCGGAACACCCATAAGACACAAACCATACAATGAATATGTGAAAGTTTATTAGACCGTTCGCACGACTTTATGTGCGTGATCGTTTTCCAAAAAGCAAAATACTGACAAGGTACTTTGAAATGATTTCTATTTCCAAAAGTTGCCAAATGAGGCAACTTTATCACACATTCAAAGATGTTTTTATTTTAAATGAAGTCTCCTATTGGCTCAGAGTTGACTGGATGGCAGTGAGAGACATAAGGTCATAATTTGAAAGGAGCCAGTGTAAGCAAGTTGGCACCACACTTCAACAAAGCACACAGGATACTGTAGAGGAGTCCCTGGGTGTGCATACAGTTTACCAGGTCAGCTGTGACTGAAAGGTCCATGCAGACAGACAGACATACGTACTTC